AAAGCCCAATTTGTTGAAAACCCTCCTTGGAAAGTTGCCCATTGGAGTGGATGATGTGTTGTTCTCTTCTAGGACTTAGTTGGTCCCGTGTGTGGGTAAGGTGAAGGCACACGTGTATGAAGCGACCACGGTATAGGGGTCAGGTTGAGCTATACCGATTACAAGCGGCCAAACTTAAGTAAAGTACGAAGTTAGGAACTTAGTTTCTAACCGAGTATCGGAGGGTTGTAATATTTGGAGAATAGTCGGTAGGCTAATCCCATAGGTGGCTTAGTTAAGCTAGCTAATGCCATGGTAGGCCTAAACCAGTTGTTCTATCTTGATAGAGTGCTATACTTCCTTGTTTAAGTGGCAAAGTCTGAGAATTTGTTATCGTGTTGTGGATTGACATCCAAATTTGTCGTTTACTTAGCAAGCCCAAAAAGGTTATGTGTTGTCAGTTCGGTAGGACCTAGCCACTTAGACTGTTCACCCATGTTGTAAGAGATCTCCGAGTTGTAATGCGTGACGACGCATAAGTTGTTAATGAGTTGAATTGGTGTTGCTATGAGTTGTATATATGTTGTTGTGTTGTGAAGTTGTGATTGTGTTGTGTGTTGCCATGTGTTGTATGTTGACCCTGTTGAGAATGATGATAGTATTGTTATGTTGTAAGTTGCTTATTTAAAATATATGTTGATTTTTTTCACTAGCTTACCCTTGCATGTTTTCATGTAATTTAGACTGTGATGATCATATATGTATGAGAGCAGAGTAGGGATAGACTGGAGATGAGTAGTAGAGCAACTGGTGATGCTCGAAATTGGATGTTACTTTGTAGTCTCCCGATTGTGGGTAGACATTTTGTGTAGATGCTTGTATGTAGTTGCTAGTCAAACAACATAATTGTTTATATATATATATATGAGGAGGGTTCAAATGACACCGGTGTAACTTTTACTAAGTGTTACACCGTTCAATAACTTTATATTAAATTTGAATTTTGAAAATCCAATCGTTAGATTGAAAGTTCATATCTCTTAGATCATATATGTCAAATTTTGTTAAAATTGAACAACAACTTGAAGGTAATCAAAGTATTCATATTTTAGTATATTTTGAAATGTATATATTACGTCAATTTTGTTTTATAAGAATGAAGTATCAAATCATCTTAGATTAATATAAAATTTGATACATATGATCTAAGAGATATGAACTTTTAATCTAACGGTTGGATTTTCAAAATTCACAATTAATATAAATTTATTGAACGGTATAACACTTAGTAAAAATTACACCGATGTCGTTTGAACCCTCCTCTCTCTCTCTATATATATATATATATTATGGAGGTCTGGAGTATATATTTATATGTGCGATTAATATTGTCATTAATATTAATATATTAATTTTTTAATATATGTTAATATTATCATTTTAATCACACATAATTTTATATTTTGAATTAATATAATTATAAATTTATATGTATTTAACTATTTCTTAATTTTAAAGACTAATATTGAGTAAGTTTTTCAGATTTAAGGATGAATTTGAGTATTTATCCAGTAAAGTAAATGTGGACATAAAATTGCAGGGTGACGCGAATTGTTTCAATGTTGAACAGATGAACTTGGTGATCCAATGCAGTTAGTTCCATCATCCCATGTCAAGTTGCAGCAAGAGATGCCTAGTTCTATTGGAGAAATGCAAGAACATGAAGCACCTCAAGCAGGCCCATGCCCAAGTATTCACCTCTGGCCTTGACACCAACCCCTTTGCTCTTAGTAGGCTTTTGGATTTCTGCTCCCACCCTCATCATGGAAGCCTCACCTATGCATGCAGAGTCTTTGAACGCATTCACCACCCCACACTTTGCATATGCAACACCATAATCAAAACATTCCTTCTCAATGGCAAGTTCTGTGGCACCCTTCACGTCTTCACCAAGATGCTGCAGAGTGGTTTGAGCCCTGACAGCTACACCATCCCTTACGTGTTGAAGGCTTGTGCTGCCCTCCCCAGTTGTTCTTTGGGCCAAATGGTTCATGGGTACGGTTCAAAATCGGGTCTTGTGTTTGATATCTTTGTGGGTAATAGTTTGATGGCAATGTATTGTTTGTGTGGGGATGTGGTGGCTGCAAGGCACGTGTTTGATGAAATTCCTAGGTTGAGTGCAGTTTCTTGGAGTGTGATGATCTCGGGGTATGCAAAGGCGGGTAATGTTGATTCTGCTAGGTTGTTTTTTGATGAAGCACCTGAGAAGGATAGGGGAATTTGGGGTGCCATGATTTCTGGGTATGTGCAGAATAGTTGCTTCAAGGAAGGACTTCATTTGTTTCGTTTGTTGCAGTTGACTGAAGTGGTCCCTGATGAGTCCATATTTGTGAGCATTCTTTCTGCTTGTGCTCATTTGGGGGCTCTGGATATTGGCATTTGGATCCATAGATACTTGAATCGAGCAATGGTGCCATTGAGCACTCGTTTGAGTACTAGTTTGTTAGACATGTATGCCAAATGTGGGAATTTGGACATGGCTAAAAGATTATTCGATTCGGCGCCGGAGAAAGACATTGTGTGTTGGAATGCCATGATTTCTGGCATGGCTATGCATGGAGATGGAGCAAGTGCACTCAAGATGTTTTTAGATATGGAAAGAACTGGGATGAAGCCTGATGATATAACATTCATAGCTGTTTTCACTGCTTGTAGTTATTCAGGATTGGCACATGAGGGTTTGCAGTTGCTACATAAGATGTGTAGTGTGTACAAAATTGTGCCTAAGAGTGAACATTATGGTTGTCTAGTTGACTTGTTAAGCAGATCTGGTCATTTTGAAGAAGCTATGGTTATGATGAGAAGAATAACAAACTCATGGAATGCCTCAGAAGAGACATTGGCTTGGAGAGCATTTTTAAGTGCATGCTGCAATCAGGGACAAGCTCAACTAGCCGAAAGTGCAGCTGAAAGACTCTTATTGTTAGATAATCATAGTGGGGTGTATGTTTTGCTGTCTAATTTATATGCAGCATCTGGGAAACACAGTGATGCCAGAAGGGTGAGGGATATGATGAAAAACAAAGGGGTGGAAAAGGCACCAGGTTGTAGCTCAGTGGAGATTGATGGGGTTGTGAGTGAGTTCATTGCTGGTGAAGAAACGCATCCACAGATGAAGGAAATACACTCAGTTTTGGAGAAAATGCATATGCAGTTAGACTAGAATCATTTGATTATTCGTTCAATTATTTCAACCAGTTCCTTTAGCTTCTTGACTAGTTTGCAACATCAAGTCTAGTGGTCCATCAACAACTTGATTTAAGGCCGAAAGGAACATCCAAGTCTAGTAGTTTAACACAGGGAACTAGACATTTGGACTTGAAATTTGAAAAAGAAAAATACTCATTAGAACAAAAAGGAAAAAGAAATAAATTAATCTATAAAAGAGTAAATAGTATTTGATGTAAATATTTTTACATTATCATCTAATGACAAACTACTGTGTATATTAAGTTTGTTCAACGAAAATTTCTAATTGATTGGTCATGTATTACACTTATCGAGTTAAATTCAATATAACACCAAAACTTAGTCTTTAAGTGTTTAATTTTAATTTTTATTCAAAACATTTACATCTAGAAGTATATCAAAACAAAAATTTGTCATTGTAAATTGGAACATATTTTCAGGATTCGGTCTAAGTTTGTATTTTCTTAACATTAAAGATGAAATTCATTTGATAGATAGTGAGTGATAAATCTTTGTTAACCTTCAGTTCAATATGTAAGGTTTTTACATAATTTATATACGATCTCAGCATGTCATTAACTCGATCTTAGCATGTAATTAATTCTATTCAATATTCATGAATTGTCATCTTTTATTTATTATTTTATGAAAAAAAAAATATCAAAAAAAAATTAAAAATATTTTCTTAAAATGCTTGTTTAAGATCATTTTTATATGTTTAGATGAAATTATTAAAATAATTAAAATCCAAAAAATATTAGATTTTAAGCTTAGACGAACAACCTATAATAACAATCACACATTAGGTTTCAACTTATATTTCCTCTTCTCAATGAAAGCCTAAATGCAAGCATGCAGCAAATCCCCTTTGTGTTTGTAACGGTTCTGAAAATTTAATTATTTCAATATTTGATTTTTAATATGTTATTATTTTTTATCATCATTGTTAAAGAAATGTAAATTTATTATTATTAAAATTCATTATATATAATTAATAATTATTAATTATTACAATTGATTGTATTCGAAATCAATTTTTGTTTAAATAAGTTTGCTAATTTATAAATAATTTTCATCGAATAAAAAGTTAACTTTATCACTATAAATTATAAAATAAAATGTATAAAAAAGAAAAAAAAAATATATTTAAAAAATTTATAAGTAACTTCGAAAAGTGTTTTAGAAAAGAAAAAAAAAAACTGTTGAAGCAAAACAATTTTAAAACTCTATTGGACCAGTCGAACTCCGACTCAAATGTATAACTTCAATTTATTATTATTATTATTATTATTATTATTATTATATATAATATTTGTTATTAAATTGTATATCTTTTATATTTTCAATCAATATAAGAAATCAAACTGAATGTATTGTTTAATCATCTTAATAACTACAAAATCAACACATTATATTGTTAAACGATTGATTTAAATAATTTATGAAATATATTTAATTATATATTAATTTATTCAATTCAATCAATCTATAATTTGATTATTTAATATTATATTGACTACATTTTTTTTATTTCTTTAAGACATGAACATAAATATCTTTTTAAAATATTAATAAAAACCAAGTTACACTGTTTAATTAATCATCCACTGATACTACTCAACTCCCTGACCAGTTTTGATGATCAATTTCCTAAATAAAATTTCATATTTCAGATGACATTCCAAACATGATATTCAAACTTGCCTTTTCCTCCAAAGCTGAAAAGTGTCCCAAATAATCTGTCCCAAGCATGACAGGGATTCATTATTCACTTTGCGCACAGTAATATTACTTTTTCATTGAAAAAAATATATGAAATATCATCCCTCAATTTTTGAAGTTGATATCAAGATCCAATACTATCTATAATACAACATTTTGGAGACGTGAAAAGCTCTTAAATATTAAACTTAAACACTGTTTATTATGACATGACATATTAGACAAAATTGAATTACCTATTTGACTATTTCATTGGGATAATTAGAGGAACAATTGTTTCAGCAATTATACAAGTACACTTCCTGAAAAAAATATAAATATTTCGAACTTCATTAAACAATGAAGTCTGAATCAGAAACTTCAAGCACTTTATGAAAACCAATGGGGTTGACACCAGGCCGGAATGCATTTCCCTCGATGTACCTGCCAAGAGCATGTTATTACTCAGTTCAATTCAAAGAACAAGATAATTGGTATTTTTAACAACTTTGCTGGAAGCTCACATTTCTTTCAAAAATGGATGCTTGTAAAAGGGTTCTGGAATTCTCCCTGAAAACTGATTGTGATCCAAGTACCTGAAATTAAGATAAAAAAAATCTTGAAATTATTAAAACTTCACAAAGATACCAATCAAACTTCTTGCATGTATTTGAGAACATAATTGTCAATCTAACTAGCAGATGGCAAGGACATCATAGCAGAGTCCCATCTCCATAGTGTATTGTTTTGAAGCCCACAGCAACACATTAAGAGCATGTTTGGATACAACCTAAAAGTGTTGTTGAAAAGTTCTCTATAGATAAAAATCCTTTATTTTTAGTAGAGAAGCTCCCAAAACTCTTTTAAACTTGTATCCAAACAAGTTATATGACCATAATTTGTCAGCGAGAATTAATAAATAAAAGCTCATAAAACATGTGTCTCTAGTTCTTATACATTTGGATAACTCAATGCCTAAAAGTCAGGCAGGGATTGTACGTCCAAGACCAAAAAGGGCATTACATACACTTGCATCAATCTCTCTATGTATACGCTGATGTTGCAAACCTGCCCATCCCATTGGATTTTCTGTGATGCATCGGTTGTAAATACCATTTTTTGGGGCAAACCCATAGAACAGCAACAATAATAACCTTATCCCACTAGGTGAAGTGAGCTAAATAGATCACACAACACCGTTGGATTCAATTAAAAGCGAAACTCTCTGAACCAATAGCGCCAACAACTTTCCCATTATTCATCTTCTTAAAAGCTTATTTTACGTCTCCAACTCAATTTTCACAATAATAAGCCAAATTGTTTGTGCTCTTAGCATTCTAATCCTTCCATACTACAAGTCAATCCTCCTCACCCATCATTTGAAAAGCTTTTACAAGCATCCATTTGAGTTACCACCAATTAATTAGTTAATTCTTACATTTGTAACTAGTCAGTTTATCTGTTTAAGGTTTTTAAAATGAACATCAAGGATCAAGACCATAAGTTGTGTGATAAGACTTCCTCCTAGAATCAACCTTGCAATTCTTGCAACACTTATCAAAACTCCTTACCAAAAAAAAGGGCCTTACGATTCCAATCTTATAAGTGAGTAGATGTTCCTCTCGCTTCTTAAAACAAGTCTTCATAATCTTGAAATCATGACATCATGTCATAGAAATCAAGAATAGATTATTTCCTCAATTAGATCGCCAAAACCAAAACCACCATGAGATCTTACAAATTGTCTCACCTCACTATCAACATGTCTATTTAGATCCCCAACTATGAGAATCTAATCCTCCAATGGAAAATCTAGTACCAGATCCTCCAAAGCTTTCCAGAAACCTTTCTTTCAAGAGTGCTTCTGTTCCTACTTGTGTTGTGGTGGATATGCACTAATAATATTAATAGTCTTCCATGTAATTTTAAAGGTAATATTCTGTCCACAATCCTTTTTCATCCACCACATTGCTTCCAATCCTTGTCCACAATAATAGTCACTTCATTCTTTCCTCTGATTTTTTCAGTGTACCAATGTTTAACACGTGTAGTATCTAGCTCTTTAGTTTTTTCTCCAACCAATTTTGTTTCTCGAAGATACATGATGTTAATCCTTCTCAAAATCTATGGTATCCACTACATCCAAAGACAGCCCTATCAAAAATACCAATATCCCAACTACTAAATATAATTAGATACTCTAGGACTACTTTCTTTACCCACATCTGTCCAAAACATATGAGGACCTTGCTCATTTGGTAAACCATAGAACAAGTGCATAAATTAAAATTCTAAGACAGGTTAGTTGCAAAAAAAAAAAAAAAATACAAAAGTTGAGAGTTTCATGAAAAAATAATAATTGAATCCCTATTTGATGTACAACACTTTTAATGCAGATACCAATCAACTGCAGAAAGATAAACTTACAAGTAAGTCAATTTAGGAATATGAGCAATGCTAGATGGTATAACTCCTGACATTTTGTTGTAGGACAGGTACCTGCCTCCAACATATAATCAACACGTTATGGAAATTCGAAGGAATAAGAGATAGATCTTGAAAAAAAACAAAATTGTTGTATAGAAAAACTGTTCCGCTCTCTCACACACAAGAGAGAGGAAGAATGATAAGTGGTACAGAGGGAAAAAAGAAAAGGCAACACTCACAAGATTTCAAGACTGGTTAAGTTAGCAAGCTGTGCAGGTATTCCTCCAGTAAAATAATTATTGTTTAGATATCTGGTTACAGAACAAAACTTGTTAAAATTTAAAGAACACTGCATATTATTTAAAATCAAATGACAATATATGGAGGAAAATAATTCCCCAGCAATAACTTACAGATTGCGTAGTGCCGGAAAGCAACCTTCAATTCGAATGAGTTCCCTTATGGTACCCACCAAATGATTGTTACCAACATCCCTACAAGCATAACAATATTATAATTATAATTATAATGAGGAACAATTGAGTAAGATACAGATAATGTACTCTTCATTAGGAGATTATTAAAATGATTTGATTATTACATGTGCCGCAAGTTTTGCAGGGTGCCCAATTCTGGTGGTATTCTTCCGGTTAATCGGTTTTCATGGAGATAAAGGTAGCGAAGGTCCGGGAGATTTGCTAGCTCCTTGGGAATTTCTCCCTTGAAATTGTTGAAGCTTAGGTACCTGCATAAAGATATGACACCTCAAGTCTAACTAATATAAAAACAATGGTGAAAGAAAGACAAACAAGCCCAAAGATATGAGGAATGTAAAAGTTACTCACAGATGTGTTAAACTTTTAAGCTCACCAATTTCTGGAGGAATTGCATCCTGTAGTTTGTTCCACCTCAAATTTCTGTAGTGAACCATATATTTCACATCATAGAACTAAAATTATCAGTACGTCAACCACTGTTTGCATAAAAACGCAGTAAAAAAACAACAGCTTTTAACATAAAATATTTTGACCAAGTCTACTGCATCACATCAAAATATAAGTATCAAAACAAAATGCAAAGAGAAATCAAAATTGAAGAGGGATCATAAAATTCATACAGTATTTTAAGACGCTTCAACCGTCCAATTTGAGGAGGAATAGGCCCTGTCAACTTGTTATTATGGAGATCACTGCCATAAGCACACAGTAATTCAATTCATAAGAACTTCAAAGGGAGAAGCAAAATGGAAGCACTTCAATGTCACACATTGTAATTTAATATGAACAAAACAAAACCAAATGCGGATAAACAGCTGGCAAAGAATGCATCATCTTAACATGTGTATCTCAATCTTCGGTTCATAGTTTTGTATTTTGTAATAAACCAACAACCACCAACCAAATAAACAAGTGTATCTCAATCTCAGTAAGTGCATCTCAATCCTCCCTAGGGCTGTTTGGATACAAGCTTAATAATTTTTGAGACCTCTACCGGAAAAAACTCTTTATTATCAATAGAGAAGCTCTTAAATACTCTTCTAAAATTGGTATCCAAACATCCAACTCCAAAACCAACATAGGCATTAAGCAACAACATCACATATTTCACAAGCCGTTTCAAAGATCAACATTTAATGAAACATAAATGAATGAAAAACACTTACAGCCGTGTAAGATCCAACAAGCTGGTAACAGCAGTAGGAAAAGGTCCAACAATCGACACCGCATACACCTCACTGCAAATAACCAAAACCCAATCCCAATTATAACAACTCCACACCTCAAATCACATCCACAACATCTGAACTTAAAAACCAAAACTCTTTTTTCTTCATCAATTCAAAAAAAAAAAAAACATTTTTTTCATTCTCATATATCAAGTTAAGAACTTTGAGATACGACGCTCACAGCTCGGTGACGACACGATAATCACCGACAGTGGAACAAGTGACACCCGACCACGGAGGAAGATCCCCATCTCCACAAGGATCATCACCGACCCACGCATACACCACTCTCCAACCAAGAGAAGCCTTGATCTCGTTCAAAGCCTTAACTGCAAAATCCCCCAAAAAAATAAAAATCACAAACGACTTCGACCCATCACGGGAAAAAGCTAAAAACGACAACCCAATGAACGGAATTTTCGAAATGTTAAGAGAAAACGACATGGGTGGGTGCGAGAAGAAGGTTACCATCACGCTTGAGGGTCTTGCAGTGCGCAAGGTGGAGAATTGACAGAAGAGTAATGAGGAGGAAGGGGAACGAAGTGAAGGGTGTCCGCGCCATTTTGAGGGCGCTATGAGAAATCGTCGGTGTCGCTATAGAAGGGGTTTTCTTTCTTTTTTCTGTTCCGAGAGTGGAAACGTAGATCTGAAGTGTTGTTGTTGAGTGAGATGTTTCTGTGTCTTTACTGTGTTTGATTCAGATTTTGGAAATTTGGGATTTGAAGGAGAGAGAGAGAAAGTGTGGGGGTTTGATTTCGTTTTGGTGATTGATTAATTGAAGTTGAGAGTGAGCGAACGCGGTATCAAGTTGGAAAATGAACATCCAACACACTCTTCCTCGTCGGCACTGAAATTTTTATGCAATTGTTTTTTTTTTTCCACTCTCTTTAATTTGTTTATTAATTTTTACGATATTGGGTTTTGACCTGTTTTGTTGTCTGGTTGGGATAATGACTGTGACTCAGACATATGGGGTTGGGTTTCGGCCGTTAAAATGGCAAAATACCAGCACACTGGCCATTGTCAATGCCTTCTTTTTTTTTATTTTATTTTTTATTTTTTTTTATAATAATAATCCTTTTAGTTAGATCTTTGAATTATAAGTGTGGATTAATTGAATTGAAATATAGCAACATTCGATAAAATTATGGTATTTTAAATATTTCCTTTTAGTGTCTTTTAATATTTAATCACGATTTTAGTTTTCCAATTTTAATGTTTAGTTTTAGAAGATTTGTAATTTAAATCATATACATCAAATAGACAGTTTAATTTGTGTTTTTTTACCGTTTTAAATTATGATTTTAACCATATGTTAAGTAAATAATGTGATAATTAATATTTAAATTAAAATATGTTTTTAATTATTATTTTCATTTTAATAAAAGATGATGAAAATGAACTAAAAATAAGACTAAAAACTCAATTTAGTCGAAAGTAATTTCGATGATGATTATTATTAACAATTATTAACTAACAACATAACAAATATTTACACCAACAATGATAATTAAATTTTTATAAAAATATATATTTAGTTTCTTTACTTTAACAATTATTAAGAAAGTGTTCCTAAAATTAACACTTGATTCTTAATATTATAAAATTGGTCCATTTAAATTTGACAACTTTTTTTTAAATTTAATAACCATCGATCAATTTGGTTATTGACACAAAAGAAAAACTTCTGGATCAATTATTACATCTTAGAATTTTGCTACCCAAGGAGTGTCATCTCCTCTTTATGTCATTTCTATTATCTTTCACTTTGTTCATTCCATTGTTGCAGTTTTCTCTATAAATTTGTCAACATGCAAGTATTGTTTGGTATTTCATGGTTCTTGCTTGGTGATCCTCTTATTATTTCCATTTGCATTGTTAACAAAGACTATAGGAACACATTTTCTATGGCACCACGATGGGAACCAAATATACTTACTGGAAAAAAGTACTTTTTTGAAGTCTTCAATCCAATGTCTTTGATCCTCGATCTTTAGTCCTCAAGGTTGAAAATAGTGATTATGCGTGCAAAAAGGACTTTGATGCCAAAGTAAGCAATTATTTAGAGTGTACGAGTGTAATCTTAAGAGTAAACGTATTTTCTGAAGGTGAAATGCAAGTGTATATATAGTATAAGATAAAAAAAATATTACTATTAAGCGATACAATATTTAAGTGCATTCAAGACCTTTGATTGCTATGTAATGATCAAACATTACAATTTATTTCTCTCATGGGAATGTGCTCAACAGGTAAAGGACTACTCAGCCTTGGGAAATGCTTTGTTTGGTTGGACAAGTAATTTAGATCCTTGCTAAGTACGTAGTTGCAGTTGTATTATTATTATTATCAAGCTGAGAACCAACAGGTCCTTGGTACCAAAATCCTCAACCTATCTACTACAACTCCCAATAGTCTAGATTAATTGAATTAAGTTTGGTTTTACTACTTGTTGCATTTTATCTTTAGTTTGAGTTCCAAGTTACATAACAAAATTTGTGTCTTATGTTAATAGAATTGTGGATAGTAACTACTTGCTTAATTGGCTTGCGTGTAAAATCTAATCAATATTTGCCAAGTCCTTATTAAGAAGACTCATACACTACTAACTACAAGTTGATATTGGTATAGTTGTTAAAGGATCAAGATCAACTTATATTATTTCTTGAAAAATATAGTCAGTAATACAAGGTATCACATGATTAAAAGAATAGGGACAAGAGATGTTTTTAGAAGTCGTTACCAAAGCATGAGCTACTAAGTTTGTCTGCCATCTTGCAATGCCCACATGAAAGTGTGGTAAAGATTTAATAATTTTTTACATAAAGTCATGATATTCCCAAATTCAAAATAGTTTAGAGTGTCTCTCCTAACTTCATCTAAACATATGCTTACAATTGAGCTAAAAGAAAATTGGAGGCCCATCTTCCTTTATGATTCAGTTAATAGCCACTAGAAGAGCATAAGTTTCTCCTTCACACATATATCTATCTCAAAACTTTTGTTTTCATTGAAAAAAGTTGTAACACCCCAATTTTCAAAAAGGTTATTATTATTATTATTATTATTATTATTATTAGATGGTATTTGGTCATAATTATTTTAATAATTATAGAGGAATATTATTTTGTACGTTTTAAATAATTATTATTTTGGACAATTATTTTGTACGTATTAAATAAGTATTTTTATTAGCATTTTTAAATAAATATTTATATGTTTTAAGAGAAGGTTGATTTTATATGATATTTTGTTATTGAAATTATATTATTATATTTAGGGTCAGAAATATATTATTATTATAGAGAAAAAATATTTTATAATATACATGTATTTATTTTATTTAATTATTTTGAGGAAAATTAGAAGTGGGTTAGAAGAGAAGGAAAATGGGTTGGGTTGACCCAGTCCAATGGATTAATTTTAAGAAAGGAGTCAGGTGGTGTTAACCCTATCTGCCTCATTTGCGTTCTGAAGGGTTAGGGAAAAAAAGAGGAGAAACAAAGAGCTCTAAGGAAGAGTACTCAGGAACGATCTTAGATCACACCAAGACCATTCATCTTCTGCTCATCCAGGTACGGGGGAGATGGGTTTCTTCATATGTGAATATAGGGGTGTTCGGGTAGTGAGGGCAATCCCTAAGTCCCTCTAGGAACTCTATTTAAAATTCTGAACGATTATCTGTGCAATCGATGTTCTAAATTCTTAATTCATTTGGAAGAACTTATTTCTTGAATTGTCTTTGAATTCCATTGGGGCTTTCTTGTTAATTCTTTATCCTTAAATTTGATGACTTGAATTTTATGTGTTAAGAAGAGTTTAGATTTTTTTTTTTAAAACCAATGGAAACCAATTTTTGAGGCTTGAGATGTGTATGGATTGATTTGGAACGTATGAAGAATATAAATGGAGTTAAACTGAACCAACGGGGTGTAGAAGTAGTGAAAATTGGTAAAAACCTTGTTGGAACTCGTAAAACGCAGGTTTAATTTCACAGAGGGGAGTCTGGGCAGAGATTTGGGCGCTCAGCGCCAGTTTTGGGCGTCGGGCGTCGGGACCCCGACATACGTTTGTAATTTTGCGATATCTTTCTGTGTAGTTATCCAAATCGAGTGCCGTTTGTTTTGTTAGAAACTAGACATCTGGGGCTACCATTTAGACACAAGAATCGTGTAAAAATATTAATATTTGATCAAGTTATGTGAGTTGCAATTTGAGCCTTCCAATCTGTGTGCGAACCACAACATCAATTTTTGTGAGCCCTGAATGGTAACCTAAACGACTTTATTAGGATTTGTGTTCTTCATGAAAGTTGTAGATATTGATGTTAGGATTCTAATGGAGTTGGGATCACTTAGAAAGGATATGTATATCTCGAGTTATGGTTAAATTATTAACTGAATGTCATAGATATTGTGATGTGTGTGAAGAATTATGTGAAATTTGTGATCTATGATGTTGATAACTTAATGATAGGTACCTAGCATGTGAGGATGATATTGCATGGATTGTTATTGACATGTGATGATGTTATATAATGGAGATGCATTAATTATGAGTTACGTGGGATGCATGAGTTGCATGAGACTTATGAGTTGCATGTGGTGCTTGAGAAGCCAGACGTGGCTATATTGCATTGGACCCTGGGCCCAGAGAGGGGTTGAGACAGGGGGGACCATGACGGGAGGCATTCCATGCGTGGGCCGTTGGGTGTTTAACTGCGCAGCTCACTGGCCACAGAGGGTTTAACGGTGGGTGGATTGCCTTTGCACGGGCCGCTGGGTGTTTAACCGTGCAACATACCGGCCCTGGGAGGGTGTGAGAACGGTATGCCCGCATTGGCAACAACTAAGGGAATTGACGAGGTACGCCCATTGTGCGGAGTGCCAAGTTGAGACTCTTAGGAGAGGAGATGTGTATGAGCATATAGTGAGCATGTGTATGAAAGCTTGTATGATTGAAAAAAAATGATGTTTGGTAATTATATGAGATGTATTTGTTGTTTATAGTTAATGATGATATTTTGGTGCACGGTGTGGGGTGGGAATTGGGTAGCTCTATGTTCATATATGATGTTATCTATCTCTCACCGTCCTGTTTTTATGTGGTTTTCTTTTAGGTGAAGATGAAGGCACTCATAGTGTTGAGTTCTAAAGGGAAAGGGTTCTGCTCTGATAGGATGTGACATTGGGGCATGAATTTAGGATGCTTTAGTTATGAATTGTTATTTGTCGTTTGAGGAGACTTATTTTTAAGAGTTTTATATTCACCTTATATTTGTAAATTCTGGATCCCTTTCATTTTTCTTTAGAGACCTTGATAATTTTCTTTTAAGAGTAAAACTTTATTATTATTATTATTATTATTTCTATTTATTTCAAGACTTGTGAACCTATGAGTTTTTATTAAAATATGTGGACCCTTCTTGATGTTATATTTATTGAATTATTCTTATTGTTGTTACTTATCTATTATGGGGTAGAAGGGTGTCACAAAAGTTGTGTCCAATTAAATTTTAAAGTCCTAGGTAGAGCTAAGGGCCATTTGTAATGTTGCCTACAATGTGGGATGAGTCAAATCATTAACCTTTTGTTTAGCTTTCATCCATTCATTTAGAACCTCTTTAGCCTTGTGCATGATGCTCCTTGAATTGAGATTTTTGTCTACATATATTAACATGTTTATGTTCTTCCAAATGCATCAATGAGTTAAAGACAAAGTCTAAGACATGTTTTTTTTTTCTTTCTTGTCCAAAAAAATCAGAAACAACATCAATGAATGACAATTTTAGGTATGCAAGTTTGGAAGAGGTCCTAGAGGTCCATTGTGAGCCAAATTTTTTTTGATGTAGTCATAACTAAGG